TAAAGTATGAAAAACACTATTGATCATTTATCCTTAGGTATAATTAGACAACTCTTTATGGTGCCTCCTAATTCTCTTTAAGTTCAGTATGAAAACAAATCCTTTATATTATGTATGTTGTCCTTGCTGAGCTCTACAAAATGGCAAATACAATATTCAAAATGGAACGTGACACCTGACGATTTTCCCTCATAAGTTCCGAAATTTTGAAAACCTATTTTTCAATGTTCCAGAATTTTTTGCCGAGACTGTACTTTGATGAACCTGAAAAGAAGGTGAAATAGTTAAATATTTTTCTTTCAAAAATAATTTAATAGAAAAATTTATTTAGAGAAAACTTATAATACCAATTTTATGTGGAGAAGATGGTCTTGTTAATGCACTAGAAAAAAACTCTTTCTTATGGTTTGGAAAAAAACAACTGGTTATGTTCCATTTTTTGGCGGTGGAAGAAAACGATATGTTTAGGACTTTTTAAGTACACATCAGCTTCTTAATTTTTTATATCCATTTGCATTTATTTTTTTTATTTAGTTAAAGTATATGATGAATATGATGGACGTCGATCAAAATGGCAAAAAACTAAAATGGAAAAGGCAATAGTTTGTTATATAAATGGAGTTCGATCAATTGAAAAAGCTCTTGCTACATTTGGTAAAGATGGTCACTTTCAAAGTTGGTATTGTTTAGCTTGCAAGTACGTATTTTATTCTTTTTTTTCTATTGATCATTATTTAATATTTGTTTTTTTAGACTTCATTTACTATCAGATTGGTTTCAATTATTGAGTCAATGTAGTGATGCATGTCTACAACAATTTTATGATCCATTGAACAATTGTTTCCGTCAAGAAAAACTTAATCAATTTATTGTTAATATTTTGCAGCCTCTTAAAGAGTTTGATTTTTCTCATTTGGAACCAGCATTGCGAAAAGGACTTTCTGGTGTTTAAAATATTTATGTGTGTATATATAGGGTGAATTATTTTTATTTTGTGCTGTCTGTATGTCAAGTCGAACAAACAGTGATATGCACAAATTCAAATCGGCCTTATCTTTGCAACAAATATTTATTTTCTCTTTTCCTATCATTTTTTTTTCTTGTTCTTTACCTATTTTCAATCTCTAAATATATGCATCAAATATTTCATTGGCATTTTCTTGTCTTAAATAGATCGAATGTAGTAATGTTTGTTATAAACAACAAAAGAATTGAATTGAAATACGTAGATATTATGTATTAGTTCTTTTGGAAAAGATATATCATATGACAGATAATTAGCGACGTACGCATAACGAGACATATTATTAAAATAAAGTCTAGTGCATAAATCCATAGCTAATGTTAAAAATTAAATGTAACAGTAATATAAAATCTGTTTAAAGAAGATGAAAGTTACATCATTACTTATTACAAGATCACTATCTAATGCAATTTTATAGTCACAATTAATTAGTCGACGACAAAAGTCTTGTCCGTCTTGAAATGAATTTTTTTATATTATTTTTGACGTATGAGAATAGAATGCAATACCTACATATATAGTGGAGTTCGAGACATTTACACAGTACATCATAGTTTTATAAGTATGTGCTTCTTCTTTGAGCAAAGTAAAAATATGTGAAACATTCATATTTGGATGACCTGTTGAGAGACGAGATGACTAGTGTGAAATGTGTTCGACTTTATAACTTTTTATTATACAGAGGAAAGAGGTTTAGCTATGTTTTGTCAATGGGTAATATCGAAAACACTCAGCTCGATATGTCGAATTGTAATTAATTCACTGGAAACCCGTCAGCTCGAAACTTCGGTCTCATGTCATACAACTTATCTCATCTCTCAACAGGCCATTCAAAAATGGATGTATTCACATATTTTTACTTTGCTCAAAGAAGAAACAAACACTTATAAAATTACTATGTGCTCCTCTCTCTCTACGTATATATGTGTCGCATTCTATTCTCATACGTCAAAAATAATATAATTCATTTCAAGATGCGCAAGACTTTTGTCGTCGACTAAAATTAATCAATTTCTTCAATATCCACTTTCTAGAAATGGTTAGTTCTCGTTTCGTCGAAAGCTTAATTGATTTTCTTGTTTCGTCGAAAAATATTTTTTCGTGTGTTCTCGTTTCGTCGAAAATTTTTTTTCATGTGTTCTTATTTCGTCGAAAATTAAAATTTGAATGAAAATATGCAGAATATAATTAGCTGATTCACAATCATTTTATTTTCTTTAACAGACTAATTCAAAAAAAAAATGATTCTCGGCGGATCTGTTGAAAAAATTTATTGAGAGCATTACAAAAATTACACAGCTAATAGACTCATCTTACTAATGTCGAAAGGGAAAGATGCTGAAATTTACAAACATCGAGCTATGAAAATGTTGAGATGTTAATAGTGTTGAGCGTGTGGATATGCAATGAGAAAGCGGCCACCCACGTCCTTATAAATACTGAAACAATCACATATCCTCAGTCTAATCCCTATTTTTCCACAATTAAGATTTTGTTATTTATAACCAGTAACTAAATATTTTCATAAAGAATTTCGATTTACAAAAAATTTTTCGTAGTGGTATTGGATCGTTGGCTGAATGATGTAACGGTATAGTTTAATCTGTTTGTTTGATAGAAGTTAGTCTATGCAGGTGAACAAAAGCAATTAGAATAAGCTACTCATATTCTTCATCTTTTCTTTCAATTTTACTTTTCGACGAAACAAGAACAATGGAAAAACAGCTATGTAAAAAATTTCGACGAAACAAGAAAATCAATTAAGCTTTCGACGAAACGAGAATTCACCCTAGAAATGACATTTTTCATGTCAATAAATTATCACCTTTTTATAAATTTTAACTATCCTTTTGGTATTTATTGGATGTATAAAAAAAAAACTGCGTATGTTATGAAAACTAATTTCAGTACACAATCAATTACTTTATTTAATGAGACACTAACAAATAAAAGATGTTTTACAATTATTTTTCAAGTTGTTATAAGAAAAAGAGATTGCTGTTGACAAATAATACAAAAACCATATTCAAGATTCAATTGTTGAAATATAAAGTGAACAATAGATTAGATTTAGTCAGGAATCAAATGTTTATTGGCATGAAAAATTAGCATTAACTTAACAGCATATTTGACGACAAATACCTTGAAAAGAATTGAATTATGAACATAAAATGAATAAATTAGAATACTTACATTCACATCAAAAAAAATAATCACCTGAAAAGCAAAGCTTCTCCTATCGCACACTTCCAAATGAGGAGGGAAGACGAGATAGAAATATATAAGATCTGTGAGAATAAGCAAGCAGACACCAAAGAACACATACTAGAATTTGAAGACAAAAAAAATCATTAGAAATTTGAAGATTTCATTTAAATAGCAGTTATGGAAATCTTCTGAGAATTTGCATGTAATGAACAAAAAAAATGAAAAGCAAATGTCAAGATCTTTTTCATATTGATAAACACGAACAACAAGCTAATACTTCGTTGTATCCTATTTTGAACAAAATAGGATTCACCACAATGTTATAATTTATTCTTATATAATATTGTAGAAACCCAATTAAACAGTATTATCTATTGCTGAAGAGATATAACATACCATAATTAAGCCATGGAGACGGTAATTGTAAGTATCGATAAATCCGAAGCCATAGAATAGCATCAGGCTGAAAGCGATCACAAATTTGCTATTTCCTTCTTCACATCTATCATCTTCCCATACAATCGGAATTGTATAAGCTGCGACCATACTAAATCCCTAGAAGAGTTATATACAACATCAATAATGGTAAAAATAATCTATAATTTAATGACTGTGTTCGAGAATTTTGAAAGAATATGAATATAATTAGAACATTTTAATTATTCAAACTAAAGTAAAAGACCTTTACTGTTCAATTTTCATGAAACTGTAATCGATTTCAAATGAAACAAAACTTGTTTCATAAAGGACTTTTTATCATCAATGATCAATAAGAATTAAGAACTTACAACAAAACCAATGGCATTTAAAAGCAAAAGAATTAGTCGTGTTTGAGTCAGTTGAGGTACATCAGCCAATGTTGATGGTTTAACAGGAATAGAATTATCTTTAACCATATTCAGTTATTCAGTACTTTATTCGTTTTGTATTTGAACAATGTGTAATTATTTAATCTTCTAAATAAATGAAATAATGATAACATAAGAATGAAAAAGACATAAGAAATAATATTTTTCCAGTTAGTAATATTTTTTTTATAGAACAAAAATAAGAAATGAATTAACGATGACAATGGTGTTATTGTATGTATAGAAAAGGAAATCAAAGTATCAGATAGTTTCGCATGTGGAGATGTATAAATACACTGAAAAAAAGTCTTGAGATACGTAATCAAGAAAGGGATCCGTATAATACTATGAAATTCTCAAAAAGGATTCGTGCGTATACTTGGTATGTCGTTGTAATGACTTCATAGTATTATTCGAAACTCTCATATAGATCTATCAAGCATCCAGAAATATTTTTACATCTTACTAGTAATATACGAAACTAAATAAGGATTTTGATTTTGTGACAAATCTCGAAATTCTTTTTAAGTTTTGTATCTGAAAATTTATTTTTCAGTCTAGTACATTAGTAATAAACTTATCGAAAACGATTGATATTTAATCTGTTGAAAAATATTTCATTAAATACTGAAATAATATTTCAATAAAACAGATCTTATTTCTCTACATACATATAAATTATTTACAAATAAATTTGGCTCACAATCAATAAATACGAAACGATAATAACTATTGACTATGATTATATGTATTTCTACCTATTTATATCAAATGGATATTATACACATTCACCATTTATGAATAGTCGATTATAAACGACAATTTCGTTCATTCATTTAAAATAAGGCATACGTATATTGTCTATATTCTTTTAATGATAAGATTAATATAATTCCCGCGGACGAATATAGATGAATAGACATATCTTTTTTTATGAATTAAACACACTCTAGAAAATTGAATAGTACTCATTTCATCATTTTAAATCAATACTCTTTTGTACAAAGATTAATTAAATAACCAATGAGAGTGAAAGACACGACTCTCTGATATAGGATAAATGGATAATAAAAAATGTTAATGGAAGGCATGAAAGATATGTCTATCGTAGATGTACATTTTTTACGAAAGTATTGTTTAATATATTTCAAAACTATAAATTTCATTGAATTAGCTTCTATGAACGGTTAATGTGATATTTTTTATAAATACTATAGATTGTATCTTAGCAAAACTAGTTTAACATACTTCTTTTACCACATTCAAAATGGAATGAAATTATGGAAAAATAAACAAGAGATTCCAGTATTAGTTTTTTTTTTATAAACAAAAAAACAAGAAAACTATTAAAATTACTTCTAATGAAAAGAACAAACATATTCACAAAGAGTTCCAAGAGGTGGTTATCTGATATCAATAGTATCGATTGTTGATATAGAATAAGAATTTTTGTTGTCAATCGATTGTGGAATATTTCATTTAATTTCCAAAAATTTTTGCAATCAACTCAAACTAAATGAAATACTTGTTGCTTGTATCGGTGTGATGCATCAACATTTACAAATTACCAATGATTCGAAATAAGATTTTTAAATAACTTGGGACAAAATGATTGTATTTACGTAGCAAACATCAGCATAATGCAAAACAAAAGTAAAATTTTTATTCTATTCTGTCACTCAACAACTCGTCAAATTGAGAAAGAACAATAAAAACACTGCATTAGTTCTAGGATCATGTGTACTTTACATTAATATGAATAAATCAACTCATCAGCAAATATTTAAACTACTAATTAAAGGTTTATGGTTGATAGATTGCATGAATTTATATTCTACAATTTCGATAGTGGAACAGAAATAAATTACGGTT